TTGATTTATGAAGGAAAGGTAATTCTTGACATCTGTGTTAGAGTAAGTGAGTAAGTTGTGAATAATACATGGTGCTTGTGAGCCAAATCTTGAGGTGAAGATGTTACACTTCTGTGTTTAGACTAGTTGAAATATTTTTGGTGTGATGAGTTAGGAAAGTCGTTTAGTGAGGTTGTGTCCATGTAAAGTGTAGTTTGATTGCTCGAGGATGAGCAATGGTTTAAGTGTGGGGTATTGATAGTAGGCTATAACTATGTATTTTGATCATTATTTGCACTCTAAATTGGCTGCACTTTACTGATGCTTAAGCGTTAAATGGTAGTAAATTGCTCTGATTGAGTATTTTATGTTTTGCAGAAGCAATTCCGGGCTACAATGAGGTTAAGGAGGTTTTGAGCTAATATGGAGCTTTGAAGGTCAAGTAAAAGCTTATGGAGTAAATTGGGAGTTCGTTCGAAGATCGAAGGAGGTTAGCGCACTTAAAAAGAAGAACGAAGAAGAGTGCAAAAAATTGCCCAAGTGCGCGGCCGCGCAAGTCAGCAAAAACTAGCCAAAGTGCGCGGCCGGATGCGCTGTCACCTGCCCAGGTGCGCGGCCGCGCACGTCCTTCCGAGAAAAATTATTCCAGGACTAAGATTGTAATTTCAAAGGTGACTTTCCTTGACCTATATGAATCCTAGCTCGCTCAAAAAGAGGGTATCTTGGTTTTTAGAAGACTTTCAAGGCAAGAATAGGCAAGGACCAAGACGGAAGATTCGGAAACGAGTTTTTATCTTTCTTCTTCCCCTTTTTATCACTGATTATGAAATCTTATATTGTGATTGTAAAAACAATTATAATTAGAGAAACTCTTTATTCTAGAGTTTGATGGAACCTCTTGGAGGATGAATTTTTGTTGCGTTTAATATAAATTTGCCATTGAATTTTCTCTACTTGTTCAACTAAGTAATTCTTGTGGTTGATTGAAGGGCCCTCAATCAGCTATGCCTATTTAATGTGTATTACTTGGAAAAAGGTACATATTTAGGGAGTTGTTGAACAACACCACTCCTAACGTATGTGAGGGATCAATATGAAGGGTTTAAAGGTGGGATTAGGAATAACGAAACCTTGGTGCGATCTTAGTGAGTGGTAAAACTAAAGCTAGCTAGCGTAGTTCAGAAGAATATGTTTAGTAGATTGTTGTATTTGCTCGGAAGAGAATTACGACACCTAAAGTGCTCATGATCGGTAGAGAGTATCTAGGTGAATTTATAGGAGACGTAACAGAGAGGATTCCGATAAGAGGGGAAATTGTAACCCTAGACTTGTCTAATCTTGTTTACAACATTTGCTTTGTTAGTAGTAAATTTACAGATCTTTAATTACCTTGTTATTAGTTAGTAAACACTCAATTCATTATTCAATATTTTTGGAAGTTGATTACTTGGATTCTTGCGAAACTAAAAGTTGTGATTAATACTTTAATTCCCTGTGGAATTCGATTCCGGACTTGTAAACCGGATTATATTTGCTACGACCGTTTAATTCTTTTTATAAGACATAATTGGGCGTGATCACTTACTTTGAAAAAAAATTCTAGATTCAATAAAAAGTGATCTATCTGTGAATATTATTAGTTAAAGAAGACCAAATTTGTTAAGGATCGTGTCCTTTTCTTCACTTGGGACTATACATGCCTTTTTTTTTTACTTAACCTTAGTTAATTAAATTAAGATTAAATGAGAATCCCATGCTAATATAACCTACAATCCCCTAAATTTTAAAGAATATGCTGCTTTAATTAATTATTGTCCTAATTGCGCTGCTGCATCTCGCCAAGGTGCATTTAATGGCTAGTAATTATTCGTTGACAATCTCTTAAAGTAAATTAATTGGAACAGTTGTAGAGAGGCTTTGGAATGATATTCCTTTTTTTTTTTTTTTATAAACTAGAAAAAATAAATAAAGCTCAATAATAAAGTCTAGCACCAACGCTTAACATTTTTTTTTAAAGGAGAAATGGGGAAAACAATTACAAAGTGGGGAATAGAACCTTTAACAACAAGATGAAAATTCATGTAGCCTATTTAATATTATTTCCTTATTATTAAGTTGTTTCCGGAAAAATTATCACATCTTCATATTTGAAAATAATTTAATACTTGATAAATATTTTTTTAAAATATTAATATTTTAATATTTAGCTTTTCATTTAATCATTTTATAGTTATAAGAATCTCCCATGAAATATATATTTAAGAAGATAAGTTCCGAATTTGTTTAACTTAAATTTCGTGCTCAAGCAAACTATATAAATTGAAGTGGTAGTACTAGCACCAGTCCTTTTTCTTTTTCCATTGAATTGAAAAGGGATTATTGATAAACAATGGGAATCTCTTTCCTCAAGATATGGTAAACACAAATGGGAAAGGAACACTTGTATAATTATATTGCAAAATTGTTATATTTCATCAAAAGATAACTGTAAAGAGAGACTTGTTCAATTAAAAACAAATGATTTCAAATATTTATTGGAAAATCCTTACTTGAAAAAACAATATATCACTGTTAAAGGTCATTAATTGTATATACAACTAGTGATGGACTAACTGCTAAAGCTCTTCAACTCAATAGTTTACTTTCAAATCCCTTTTTAATTGTTAGATATAGCATTTCCATTGACTTATTTTCACGGGGGGTTTTCAAAATTTTTGTTTTGACAAATTGTCATTATGCTCTAACTTTCATTCAATAAATCAATCGACTATACTACAATCTCAAATTAATTATTATAAAAATCATATGTGCCTTCTCTATTAAAAGCACTTAGATTACTCACCATGGTTGGGTATTGTTATATTTATTCTTAATCTAGTGTAACCTTCTTTTTTTTTACGAGAAACTTTCGGAAACCACTATGTTTTAGTGGTTATTAGCTAGTTGTAGCTAGCATTTACTATATTATTTTTTATAGCTATATTTTCAGATTTTTTAGAGTGTATTCAGTGTATTTAAGCTATTGTATTCATGAATACAATAGCATTTCTAGGCATGAAACATGGGATTACAGCTAGACAGCTTTTTGTATTCGAGTGTATTTGACTGTATTCATGACGTAAAATATGGGATTACAGCTGGACAGATTATTGTATTCGGCTGTATTCACGGCGTGAAACAGGGGATTACACTATTTTTAAACGAAAAGTGAATCAATTAACATAATAGACTCCTAATATAACTCAATAATCTCAATTATAAATCTGAATACATAAATACATCTGAATATATAAATTATATTAATTAAAAAAAATATGAATACATTCATGGAATATAGCGAGACAGTGAATACAATGAAATACATGGAACACAGCGAGATACATTGAAATACAATGAAAAAAAGGCAATGAATACAATGAAATACATGGAACACAACGAGATACATTGAAAAAAAGACAATGAAATATATAGAATACAACGAGATACATTGAAATATAATAAAAAACCGGTAACAAACTCTACAAGTTGCTCAGCTCCAAAACTTTGAATAAAGTGAGATACATTAAAATACAATGAAAAAAGGTAACATACTCTACAAGTTGCTCAGCACCAAAACTCTGTCGTCTTTGTTCTAGAATAACCCTAATATCCTCTCGTCGATAGCAGATTTCGAAATTAACACAGCGAGATGCTATTGTCGGCGGCTATAGTGCAGAAACAGTTTTAGGGGTTCATGATTTTTATTTGAATTGTTGGTTGGTGAATTAAGAAAAACGAAAGAGAAGAAAAAAAAGAGGGTACAGATGGATCGGTTACGGCGGAAAAGCCGTGGAAAGCTCGATCTAGTAATCAGTAAGAATTTCTCAAAAGTTTGTTTTTCTAATCAACAAAACAAACAATTGAAGAGAGAGGGTGGAGAAATAGATGACATCGTATTTTATGAGAGAGAGAGCAGCGTATTTTATGGCTTTAGGATAGAAGGTGACCATAAATAGAAATTTGGCTATAAAAATTAAAAAGTAGTTATGAAATATAATTTTTTAAAATGGTATTTATTTAAAATAAATAAGGTATCAACCTTTGCTATAGGATGTAAAAATTCTTTTTTTATTTGGATGTAAAATCGATTATGTATTGGACTTTCATAGGCGAAGTTATTTTTTAGTTTAACTATTTGATTTTATTCACTGGCAATCTCTTACGGCAAATTTGTATTTACATCGGATATTGACCCCATTAAAGGACAGTTTTTGGACCGGCCATTCAAAAATAGCCAACGTTTGTAAAGTCATTGAAAAATAGCCACTATTTTGCTACAACACGGAAAGTTTCAGCATAATATACCGGAGATCGGTGCACCTGTGTATGAACTTTCAGCATAACTCCAACACTCGGAAAGTTTCAGTATATTATGCTGGAACTCCAACATATAGAAAGTTCAAGCATAATATACTAGAGATTGGAGCACATGTGTATAAACTTCCAGCATATTATGTTGGACCGGTATATTATACTGGAACTCCAGTATACTTATGTTGGAACTCCAGTATAATATACTGAAGTTTATACTGGAGTTTCAGCATAAGTATACAGGATTTCCAACATAATATACTGGAGTTTCATTATATTATACTGAAATTTTAATATATTATACTAGAATTTCAGTATATTATACTGGAGTATTTTTCAGATTTTGAACAGTATTTTCGTAAAACATAAATAAGTGGTATAAAACAATAGGCGGGGTTAGTGATCTGTAAAACATAAATAAATAGGTATAAAACAATAGAAACTTTATTGGTTGAGTTTAAAACTAAAATTAGTGGTAGCTTTAATAACTATAAATAGAAACAAAACAAAAGAGTGGCCACAGAAAATAAGTTAAAAACAGTATATGCTGCAGTGCCTAATATTCCTAAGAAAAACGATAATAACTATTCTACAAAATTATTCCGTCAATCAAGTTTATAAAAATAAAAGAACCTCGTGACGGTAATCACGCTACTAGTACTATTTTAGCTTAAGCTTTAATAAGGGATCACGTATTATATTAAGTACAGTAATTATTTAAATTGTGTTGCCCAATTTAAGAAGATCTGACAATGAAGCAGCTGCAGCTTCAATTCTTGAGCCACTACTGTCCTAGGAGGGAAGAGGGTGCAAACTCAGAACAAACACAAATAAAGGAAAAGTAAAAAGAAGGCTCTTATTTTCACACCATTCTTTGCCAGGAAAACACACACACACACACACCTAGTCCAATAGTCCATAGATTCAGACCCAGAACCCAAAAAAAAAAAGACAAGTTTTTTGAGGTTTTTTTGAGTAAATTCAAGAATGGTGTTGGTAACTGAAGAAGTGATCAAGCAGTTGCAAACCTTAATGGATGAAAGTTAGTTTCTTTTACTACATTTCTTTGACTTTGGATCTCTGAAGACTTAACATTCCTTTTTTTTTTTTTTTAACTCAATTATCTATTTGCAGTTGCTGAGCCACTTCAGAAGACTTACCAGGTTTTGCTTCTAATTTCAACTTTCAAGATTTTGCTAATTTATGATTTGAGAATGTTATGATTTGATCTGGCTAATTCTTGATGTTGGTTTATTATATTATGTCCATAAATCTCATTTTCTGAATCTTGGTTAGTTAATGCCAAGTCAAATACTAGTTTCTATGTTTCTTGCATTTTCAACTTAAGAAATTCTAGTTTTGGTTTGTTGCCCAAATTGCAACCGATTTGCTTTTATTTTCTTTTTGGTGGTGGGCTAATTATGAATTAGGATGCAATGACTTAGATGGGTTTTTGCATATTAACAGCTTAACATGATAAGATAAAGTATTCACGGAGATAAATGTTCAAATTTATCAAAGCTTGCATCTTGATGCAGAATCTGAAGTCACCTAAATGAAAATTGGTCAAAATATGCAGCTACAATTTAATTTATTGTTTGAGAAAAAAAAAAGACATCCTTGTTCCTATTTATGTACGTATACAGTATGCAGTTGGAGATTGTTTAGCCTAGTTAAACAGCAGGCTATCACCAAAGACTTATATCTGTAACTAAAGGTCAACTTGATGGCACCAGTCGCTAATTAAAGTTTTGGGCCAAAGATTGGTCCTTTACTCTCTTATTGTGGTGGGCAATCTTTTTGGTTATCTGAGACTTCAAAAAATTTGGCATGCATATGGGACTTTCGTCTGATTCTTCATTATCAACTCTCTGGGAGTGACCGGTATTTCTCTTTTTTTTTTTTTTTTAAAAAATTATAAATTATTTGGCTAAAGAAAGTTATAATCTCACATAGCAGAACTGCAGAAGGGGTTTAATTACTATTTTAGAGAAAGGTGATCGATCATCAAAATACTCTTACAAAAATATAAGTCTTACACATCTGGCATATTATTGAACTGGCCTAACAAAATAAGATGAGCTAAGCATTTTGGCATGTGCAATAGTTTGATAGTGAGGGGAAAGTTGGCTATCATTTCGTTGCCAATGGTAATTATAGGTTTGAGGAACAAAAATGGATCACTCTGTAGTGACCATACTAATATGAGGTCTCACAATTTTTGCAGAATGTACATCAGGGGTACCGAACCGAGACACTGGTGAGGTTTCTCAAAGCTAGGGATGGCAGTGTCTCTAAAGCACACAAGATGGTAGGTGCATACAGTTTTCATTCACATTTGAAGCTAAATATTTCTTCAGGATGAATATTTTCATCTGGAGAAATCTTCTAATTGTAATCAGCACTTTGCAGCTTGTTGACTGTTTAAATTGGAGGATAGACAACGAGATTGATCAGATACTTGCAGTAAGTTTTCTCTTATCATAGCATAGGTGTTCTCTACGTTCATGAGAGTGTCATAATTTTGAGTTTCTTAAAAGTCCACTTCCATTTTCTGTTCATTGCAGATTCTGTTGTGTTACTTTTTCTTTTTGCTTTTCCCAACTATTCTCTGGGATATACTTAGATGTTAAAATCATAATGAATTGTCAGCTTGTATTGACCAGATCCAATGGCTACATTATGCAATATAATCTGCTTCGATCATGAAGATATCTACCTTTAGCTCTAATTCTACTGCATCACATATACAACAGATCTGCATAGTCGAAAGTTCCGATCTCAGGGTCCAAATGGGAAAAGGAATAATATTCTTTTGAAAAAGCGACAAACAAACCTTAAAAAACCTCAGTTAAACACAGAACTGTAATATTTGAATGAAACACGTTCAGTTAGTCTCAAATAATAAAGAAGTGAAGGCTAAGTTGGTTCTGACTGTACTATTTGGCTGATATTTGTCATTTATTGTTGCAGAAGCCAATATTACCCACTGATTTGTACAGAGCAGTGAGGGACACTCAGCTTGTGGGGATGTCTGGATATTCAAGAGACGTAATACTTTGATTTGAATATATATAAATTTTCATCGATTAGCTCTCTTCTCATTTGGGTTATGCAACTAGTTCCCGTTGTGGTTGTCCAATAAAATTCTCATTGTGTGGTTTCTACTTGGTTTTATTCTGTACAGGGTCTTCCTGTCGTAGCTGTTGGTGTAGGGCTCAGCACATATGACAAAGCGTCGGTAAGGGTCATATTTTTTATGTTTCAGCCCTGTTAACGTGTCAACCTTCAACAGCATCAGTTCAGCAAAAACATAAAAATCAGCTGTTCAAACATTTTACCATTTGTCTACAATAGATGGCATTGAAATTGTACTGACATTTTGCTTTTCTCCATTTTAGATTCACTACTATATTCAGTCACATATCCAAATGAATGAATACCGTGACCGTGTAATATTGGTATGTCCTCTATGTTGGTTTATTCAGATACGAGATAAATACAACAAGAATAGCAATGTAGACTGACTGTTGTTCATGTTATAGCCTTCTGCATCAAAGAAATTTGGGCGGTATATTGGGACCTGTATAAAGGTTTTGGACATGACTGGTCTAAAGTTTTCTGCACTGAACCAAATTAAGGTATCTTTAATTTGTTTGACATTGTAAATATATTTCATTGAGACTTCCTACCAAATACCTGCTATGTTATTTTCCTTCTCACCGCTTTACTCGGCAACCTCATTATTCTGCTTAAAATTTTCATTTGAGGCTATCTGAACTTTAAAATTGAGTAAAGAGTAATGAGAGTGGGAAATACAAGGAAAAATAGGATGGAAGTAAAAGAAAATCCTGTCCAGCAGAGATCACACTGAAATAAACTGTCAGAACGTCTTGGTTTTGAAGTTGTTGTTTTATAGTGGTATCATCTTTTTCTAGTCAAAACTCCTCCTGGATATATTGATTAACTTATTTCTGCATTCGTCGTCCACATTGCTATTTCTTGTTAAGTTTGATAAGACGTTCAATTTTCTCTCTTTCTCCAAATGAAGATTAAGTTCAAGTTTCAGGGGTAAATATACTCTTCTGAGTGCATTAGTTCATTTGCTAAATATTGCTATTCACAAAATTTTAACTTCTGAAAAAGAAAATTGTAATCATCAAATACTCAAATGACCTAAAAACCATATATAATAGAACATCAAGAAAAGTGTTTTGTGGGTGCTTGAGAAAGAAAGGGATTCGCATCAAATACATAATGTTGGAAAGATATGATCGAGGAAACGGTCACAAGTGCAAGACCAATAGGAGGAGGTTATAGAGGACTTCTGGTGAGTTTACACCAGGGAGATACCTTGAACCCACACTTCTTTATTCTTGGATGAGCTATTGAATAGTATGCAGGATGAGGTTTTATAGTGCATGGTATTTGTAGATGATAGTGACATATTGTGTTGATTGACGAGACTAGCTAGAAAGTCAACCTACAGCTGAATATAGAAAAGTATTCTAGAGAATAAGGCTTTTAGGACAAGTAAGGTAAGACAGAATATTTGACGCTACAAGTTTAGTCATTCTAAGAAGAATGTAGGTGAAGTGCGATGTAGGTAATGGGGCCTAAATACGGACAATGCAAATACTTAAAGCTGGGTCTTGTAGGAGAATGGCGTGATAGATGAAAATATAGTATTTAAGTTAAAATTGGATAGCCGAAATGGAGTGTGATGAGATAGGAGGATTTTATGAAACCAGCAACCTTATATGGGAGTGAGTGTCGGGTTTCTAAAGCCCAACAAATCAATAAAATGATTGTCATAGAAATACAAATGTTAAGATAGATATGTGGCCATGCAAAATTAGATAAGACTAGAAATGAGCACTTCTGAGAGTGTGCAAATAGCAAACAGAAGATAAAATGAGAGGTCGCATGAGATGGTGCGACAATAATGATTGAAAGTTCTGGATCAGCTAGCATCCACCTGGATTAATCCACCGGGTGCCTGCTGCCTCCCACCAACACAGGCACTAGATATATCTGCCCACCAAGACTTAGGCAGTGGGTAGAAATAGCTTTTAGTTGAAAAAATGAACTACTTAGGGTGTGTTTGCTATGGAGGAAAATGTTTTCCTCGAAATGAGTAGTTTTATCGCTTATTTTTCCATGTTTGGTTGGTGAGTGGAAAACTTTTTCCGAAAAATATTTTTTAGTGTTTGGTTAGTGAGGAGAAATTTTTTTTATTAGAAAATATATAATTTAAGTAAACACTATGGGGTTAGGGGATGGGAAGGGAGGGGCGAGGGTTTGGGTTGGGTGGTA